GGGACGGTGCCTGCAGTTTCCATGGACACGCCGGGAGCACAGCGAGGAGGCATCCGGGAGATTCGTGCCTAACCTGAGCCTGCCCTCCTGCCTGGCTCACCTGGGATCCTCTCCTGGCAGGGGATTTTGCACCTTTGGGTGTTTTTAGGGAGCCCAAGGGATGCCCAGGTTTCCAAGATTTTGGTGTGCAGTATTCCCTCTCCTTGTGCAGGCTGGGATGAGGCTCAGAAATGCTGTGCAGCAAAGGCCTTTCAGCTTCCTTTGAACTTCCTGGCTTTCCCCTGTCATGGAAAAGTCCTTCCCTGACACCTCCATCCCTCAGGGAAGCTTTACCCAAGCGGAGAGGGAGGAGAAGCTCAACTGAGTTCACTCTGTAGCAGAGTGGGAAAGTGAAAGTTCACATCCTTCCTTGAGTGCTCCCGACCTTCCTGTTGGGGTTTGCAGGGACGCTTTGATCCCTCTGGAATAGCAGCTGATCCCACCACCAGGCAGCTTTTCTGGATGCAGCTACACCTTGAGCTAAATCCATTCCCAACCCAAGAGCTTTCAAAGGGAAAGGCTCAGGGAGGGACCCAATTTCTGCAGTAGCTTTAGGCCAATTTTTGTCTGCACAGAGGATCAGGTCTAAAGAGGTGGGTTTGTAGAATCCCTCATCATCCCACATGCCAAAATCCTTGGGAAAACCAGGCTCAGAGGGTCGGGGTCACCCTGGCAGCGCAGGAGGCTGGGTGTCATCCTTTTGGATGCAGGCACAGAGAGGTTTCTTTCCGGTGAAGGAATTGAGATTTTTGGTGGAAATTCAAAGAGTGAGAAGCTCTGGCGGGGATCCAGGCTATGCTGGCACTTGGGGTTTCAATGAGAGAGAGAGAGAGAGAAAGGGAAAAAAAAATCCCTGAAACTTTCCACGGGAAGCGGGCACTTCCCACAAAACATGGCTTTAGTCAGTGGTCTGGCAGTGGTACCAGTAAAAACCAGTTCTGGCCACCAGTTCATACCAAAGTGGGACCTGTGGGTCCCCTGCAAATGCCACTTGCACCCACCTGAGCAGGAATATTGAATTCAGAGGTTCAGTGTGACTTTTCCCAAATTAATTAACATCCAGCCTGCCCTGGCCTCTGCTGTCCCTGTCCCTGCTTGTCCATCTGTCTGTCCATCCTTCTTTCCTTCCTTCCCAATCCCTGCCTGGCAGCTCAGCATCCCCAGGGGCAGCATTTTACCAGCTGTGGGTGAAAATATTTGGTGTTTATTCCTTGTTTCTCTGCCAAGGGTCTTCTGGGGCCTGATTAGGGGCGGCAAAGCCATGTTCAGCTGGAATGAGCTGGGAAAAAGGATCTCATCCCACAGGGAATTTATCCCCTGGGTGTGCTCTGAACTCCATCCCAGCTCCCCACAACCAGGGGTGATGCTAAGGTTTGATGTCCACCCTAGGAAAGGACATTTCTTCCCTAATTTAGCAAGGATTGAGCGATTCCTGCTGGCAATTCCCGCGTGCCTCCATTCCAGGGGACTGCTGGGGAGTGGGAGGGGGAGCTCCATGTTTTAAGCAGCAGCTCCCTGCAGACCTCATCGAGCTGTATTCCCCCCCTGCCTGGGAGGTTTGTTTCCAACTCTCCTGTGCATCCAGAGGAGAATTAACTGCTTTGGTGGTGTGTGGCCTTGCGTTTGCACATGGAAAAGCCAAGTAAATAGATGAGATTGCTGGGGAAACTTCAGAGAAAATCAGCCACAGCTTCTCCCACCTTCCCCTCCCTGGGGTTCCTGAGCATCCCCGAGTAGAGCTCGCAGGATTCTCTCCACCCACACTTTTTTCCTTACTTTAAGCTCTTCCCACCCTCTCCCTGCAGTGCTTCACCCTCCTCTCTCCCCACTGAACCCTGCTGCTTTCCCAAACTCCAGGTGCCCTCGCGGGGAGGGGGCTCCGAGGGGCCGGGATGCTCCCCCAGCCCCGCGGGGTGGGAACGGCTCCGGCTGTGACTCAGCGCGCTCGGCTCTTCAGGAACGGGATTTCAAGGGATTTCACACCCCAAACACAACCCCAGCTTTCTCTCGCTCAGCAGAAACGAGACATCAGAAAAAGGAAAAAAAAAAAAAAGAAAAAGCACCGATTCTGGTTTTTCTTTGGTGTTTATTTGGCTCAGTTTTGAAGGTATCAGTGAGATCTGTGCCACGCTGGGAATTCATGGCACTGATGGATACGGATCCACCTCCCCCCCCCACCCCAGTTTATTTCTGTTATCCCCATCATGCATTTTATAACCAGAAAAAAAACCAAAAAACTCTTAATTTTGAAGCAAATGGTTGTGATGTTGCTGTGGCAGCTGCACTTTGTCCCCCCACAGTTTTGCAGGCAGGGGTACAACTCCCAAAGGGACGAAAATTCGGTGCCAGCAGCAGTTTTGAGGCGTGGGGTGAATCCATTTGGTTTAAAAGCTCCAATAAAATCCATACCTTTCATCTTTTTTTTTTTCTTCCTTCTTTCTTTCCTGCTCATCCACTTCTCCCCCCCACCACCCTCCCAGAGAATCATATTAAAAGGCAGTGATTTAGAAACCAGGAAAATTATGTAAAATTGTAAAATAGAACAAAAAAAAAACCCCAATAATTGAGGAACAGACCTGATTTGCACAGGGTTATTTTTTAGAGGTTTTACTGAGACAGACATAATTACCAAGTGGCATCACGATGCTGATAGAGATATTTACTGCTGCACGGGGGATTTGCAGCGCTCCACTGACTTCCCTTTGTTTCTGGGCAAAAAAAAAAGGATTTTTGGGGTTTCTTGCAACCCTTGTGGGGTGAGGATGGGGAATGGGATGGGACAGGACCCCCCTGTGCTCCCTCTGCCTTCCTGTCCCAGTTCTGATGCCAAACCAAAGCTTTTCATGGCTTTTCCTACCCCACATCCCTCTTGTTGCCAGAACTCCCTGGATTTAACCATTTTTCCAGTGGACAGCGCCACTTTGGGATGCTCTCTGTACCTCCCCAGGGGGGGCAGGTTGTGCGCAGGTAATGCTTTAATCACCTTTTTAATTATCCTTTCCCACTAGTAACCAGCCTGGCTCCAGCTCCCTGCTTGTTCCCGCCCTGCCAGAGAGTGGCAAACTGGTTTTAACTGGGATAACACTCCCCTGAGTAGAATCCTCACTTTTTTTTATCCTTTCACCATCATCACTTCCAAAAACATCAAGTGACAGCACCTGGCTGCGGATGGCAGGCAGGAGGTGCCTCATTTTTGGTTTATATTTGACCCATGGAGGAAAACACACAGGAAAAAAAATCCATATATTTTTGTTTTCTTCCTGTAAGGCACCACACCCCCAGTTATTGACAGGGAAATTATACAGCAGAGTGGTGTTTGTTTATAAAAGAAGGGTGATTCACACTGCCACAGGAGCTGGAAAGGGTTAAACCCAAAATTACACTGGTCCCGGTGGAGAACCATAAACAGGAAGTTCTCCTTAAAAAAAAAACTTAAATTTAAACCTGGTGACTCAGGTTGGCTCCAGAGCTGTTCAGGGAGGGTCACAGGGGGTACAGCCCTGGATTATTCCCAGTGGGTAATTACAGTGTTGGTTTGAAAACAACGGGAAAAGTGGGAAGAGCAAGGTTTGGAGTTTGGATAATCCGGGTTTTTTGCTTCATCCTGCCTGTTGTTCCATTGCAAACTCTTTCTCCTGTTGCACACAGTTGGATTTTACAGCAGGTTACAGGGATAAAAATATTTCCTGGGGTCCAGCAGTGCTGGAGACTTGGAATTGGAGCTGGTGGGAAGCAAATGGAAAACCAGCAGTGAGAAAAGCCAGACTGGGAGGCAGCAGGACCAGCGGCCAACACAGTCCCAAAATCCATGTTTTTATCTCAAGTTTCATGTGGCAGCAGGAGAATTTGAGCTGGTCCAGTACAAATTCTCAGAAGGGGACTCAGATGCTTTCCCAGAAGCTCCTGGTGCACATTTGGGATGGCATGGAATGGGATGAAGCTGAGCTGTAGGTGAAACATCTCTGGCAAAAACCACTTTAATGTCATTATGACCTCAATTTTTTCCATTTATTTAAAGCATCACAACCCAGAAAACATTGGGACATTTTAGCTGAGATGCTTTAACCAAGCAGCACCTCTTTAACTTAATTAAATCCATTGACAACAGCAGTGGAATTCCTGGATTTTCATTATACTGATAGGTGAAAGAAATCCAATTATTTTCAGGCTGCCTGCGTGGCTGCTCTCAGCTGACCCAGCCACCCTTACATATGTTGTGTAATTTATTTAGAGTACTCTTCACATTCAGGTAACCCAGATTTTCCTGGGAATTAGGGATTTTAAGAATGAAGGCTGTGCTGGCAGGTGAGCCGCTCCTCCAGCTGTTGCAGCAGAGGAATCCTTTGAAGCAGCTCACAGCTCCAGACACCGGGTTGTTACTTTTTTTAATATCCTCTTTCCAAATATTTACAGGCTTTGTTTGTTGTTTTTTTTTTTTTATTTTATCCTCCCCAGCAGGTTTGGTTTTAAACAGAGTGGGTTCTTCAGCTGCTCGTGGAGCATCCTTGTGTTGATTTGGGGTAGAGAGAGGATGTGTGGGGCTGACCTCAGGGGTGGCACTTTGGAGAATCAAAGGGACCCACAAGGACCATCCAGTCCAGCTCCAAAATCCCACAGGCACCCCAAAATCCCTGGGAGTGTTGTCCACAGTCTCCTGGAGCTCTGGCAGCCTCTGGCCGTGCCCATTCCCTGGGGAGCTGTCCCAGTGCTTGCTCCGGCCAGTCCCTGGGTCCTGTCACTGTCACAGAGCAGAGGTTGGAGCTGCACCTCGGGAGGAAGTTGTGGAATGCTGAGAAGCCTCCTCACAATCTCTCCCACCCTCTCCATCTCCGGGAGGTGCACAGTGCCTGGAATGAGGGGCTGCCACCCCGAGACAACCCCTGTTGCCCCCAAACCCACCCGCAGCACCAGGCCCAGCATTGTCGCCGCTCACACATTCCCTTCTCCTCTCTCTTTTCCAGGATCCCGTTCAAGATCGGGCAGCCCAAGAAACAGATTGTACCCAAGACAGTGAGTAAACCAGTTCCCCCTTTTTAGCTCCAGCCTTGGATCATGTGGCTGATGAGTCAAGCCGGCACTTTGACTCGTCCCATTTTGCAGCGTGTGGGAGGGAGCTGGAGCAGCAGAACCTGTTGCCGCGTGTGACCAGCACTCGGCTCCTCGTGCGAGGAGCGAGGGGGAGCCCCATCCAGGGAGAATATTTTGGTTTGGGATCTGTTGAAATCATAAATTTTAATTTTTTATTTTTTTTTGGGAGGGGTGTGTGTGTGTGTGTGTGTGTGTGGGGTGGGGGAAAAGAGCTCTCTTGGTCTGGCACAGTTTTCCTCGGAGATGGCTGAACGGGTTTGCTTCCTTCCTTCCTTCCTTCCTTCTTTCAGCAATGGCTTGTTTGTTCATCCTTTCGGAGCAGATGGAGGAGGAGGAGTGGTTCAGATCGCTGAATATAACTGTTTCCAAAGAAAGGCTTATAAGCTGAGATGCTTAGTGCTCGGGCGTGAATTAATTTGTGCTGCACAGCATTTGCTTTAAAAGCAAATTAAAAAAGCATTTTGTATTCCCGTGGATTTGAGGCTCCTACCCCAAGTGCTGCTGCTTGCAGCTGGCTGTGGTATTTTCCCTTCTTAAGCAGCTTGGCTTTGCATTTGTCCCGTGCCAAAAAAAACCAAAAAAAAGCTGTGGAACCTCCCAGGAGCTGGCCCTGGAAACTCACCTGGACAGCTGCTCTAAAAAGGGTGCCCTGAGAGGCAGCGTGGGGCAGAGCTGGTCCCTCTAACGGTGTTGGTGACCTAATCCCCTGCACAGACTGACATCCCTGATCCTTCCTCTCCGGGACACTCAGCTAATTCCGCAGGATGCGTGGGCACCCGCGTTTGTGGGGCAGTTTCTCCTTGGGACATGACATTTTCCCTGGAGGCAAAGGGCTAATCCCACCACTCCCTTCAAGGCTTGATTGTCATGTTTTATTTTAAAGGATTTGGTGGTTGTCTGCTGCCGTGGAGCAGCAATTTTCTGTAACAGCTCCAAACTGTCAGTACAGAATTTCAGCCAGGCAAGCGATGAAGACGAGGACTGGTAAAATTTCTCCGTGGTTTTTCCATGTTTTCAGCTGCCCTTTTCCAGGGGCTGGCGATCCACCAGGAAGGAGCTTCTGCCCGTGATCCCTCAGGTGAGGCAGCCCAGCCTCAGCTCTTCACACCTCTCCCAGCTCATGTCAGGAGCCCTCACATTCCTTGCTCCATGACATTTTGCCTTTCCCAGTGTTCCCAACACTGACGTCCTTCCAGGCTGGGGCAAGAACAAACTGCTCTGCAGCCCTGGGTGTCTTGGCCAGCTCTGCTGGGCATCTCCACCCCACCCACTCTCACATCCCAGTTGATTATATTACATTTCCCTGCCGTTTCCCTCCCCTCCTGCCGCGTCTGCTGTTGGAGAGGTTTTTCTTCCCTAAAATCAGCCATCCCTGAGCTCAGGCTCCCTGCAGATGAGCGGTGGCACCTTTGAGATCTTCCCTTCCCCGGAGCTGCTGGAATGTGCTGTTCTGAAGCAGTTGGCAGCCTTTGCTTATATATACATGTGTGTGTATTAAATAGAACAGCTCAGAATATCCGGCAGGCAGAGGTTCATTCAGCACCCAGAGCTTTTCCAGGCCTTTTCCTTCCTTCCTTCCTCAGCTCCCCAGGAACAAGATTTTGTGTCAACAAAGTTGGAAACTGATTTCTAAAAGGCTTCCACTTGTCCTGGAATGATGATGATGATGATGATGATGATGATGACAATGATGATGATGATGATGATGATGGCGGTGGTGTTGCTCTCCAGGCACCAGATAGAGGGAAAGCAGAAAACAGGAAGCCCCAAAACCTTGGAACTTTGCGCCAAGTGTAGAGTGCAGCTCTTCAAAGCAGAACAAACAGCAGGAAACCACGGATATCCCCCGGGATCAGGCATTCCATGCCGTGGTGTGGAAGGGATGGGGCTGCTTTGAGCTGCAGGCCCCCAAATTTACCTCCCAGTTGCAGGCTGAGATGCTCCATCTGTGCAGGCGTTGGGGATCAGCAGCAGCAGCCAAGGGCCGGGATATTCCAGATGTTGGGCTCTGGAGCCCACTGCAGGAAGTGGGAAGGTGTGGCATCTCCAGGGCTGCATCCCAAGCCCATCGGAAGGGAAGTGGTTGTGGGTAGAGGATCTCCCACTCACAGAGACCGGACCACAAAAGAGGATGGTGAGGGGGAAGGATTAAAAAAAAAAACCAGCATTTTTTAGGATGTAACTTCTTTGGCTCTCCATGAGGCCCGGGACTGGAGTCAGGAGAGGGGGGGTGGCTTTGCTGAGAGGCTCAGCGAGCAGAGAGGCTTTTTTGTTGTCTCGATGCTGGGGCTGGTGTCAGATCTAGGCCGGGAATAGTCCTGAAAAGCAATTTGCCTGGGCTGCCGAGGAATTAGTCATGACTCCTTGTGCCCACTCGCTTGTGATCCTTTGGAGAAGGGCACGGTGTCAGCCACAGTTTAGCTCTTGAGGGAGAAGGAAACCCCAGTAGAAAATATCAGCTGGTGAACTGAGGTGATCTCCCCCTCCCCAGACATGGCTGTGCTTTGTTTCCACCTTAACCTGGGCAAATCCAATTCCAGACAGCATAATCTCTCCCCTCCTCTTCCCTGAAAAGAGCAGCTGTCACCGGGCTCTGGGAGCTGGGTGGGAGGATCTAATGCTCGGAGAGGACCTGCTGTCAGCAGGGCCACGGGCCCACAGCCCAATTAAACTAATGCCCAGTGATAGGAGTTAAACCTGTTAGAATTATATCTCTCCATGGTTATTGTTCAGCCACGAAGCCTCTTATGGCAGAGATGTTCTTCCTTCCCTCGGGACAGCTCTGCTCCCAGCAGAGGCTGCGCTGCCATCGGAGCTGTGTCGTCTCCCCTGCTCTCCTGCAGCTCCAGCTGAAGTTCACCTGTGTCCCCCCAAGGTTGTTCCCTGCTCTTCACCGGGGCTGGGATGATCTGAGCAGGCAGGGAGCTGGGGAGCAGAGCCGACCCTGCATCCCCGCAGGGCGTTCGGGATGGGGCGAGCGAGGTTTTATCCTGGATCCCTCCTTGCTTCGCTCAGCCCTGCTCTGGCCTGGGCTGACTCAGACCACTCGCCCTCCTCCTCCTCCTCGCTGGCCTGAGTCAGCTTGGCAGGGAGTGGAGACCTGAGCTGCCAAACCTCCCTTCCTTGACTCATCCCAGCAGCTCTGCCTTCCCCAGGGATGTCGGACAGAGGAGCTCTGTGAGCAGCAGGATTCCACTGCAGCTGTGGCCGTCAGCACCTTTCCATTGGGCTGCCCCAGCCAGCTGGAAATCCCAAAACAATGGAGTAAATGTCACGGGAGTGGTGGCGTGGATTCAAGTGATGCCGGTTAAATAATTTTGCTTGTTTTCACTCTCTTCTTTCAATTTTTTCTGGCCAAACTGGTCTCTGCAGTTGAGAGGTGCCTCCTTTTCCCCTTGGCCACTTTTCTGAGAAGCTTTCTTGCAGGATGGGGATGTGGAGGTCTTGCTGGGTGGGGCCTGTGACATCCCAGATCCACCTGCACGCTGCAGCTCTGGCTCAGAATATTCACCCATGGGACTTACCTTGAGATTCTTGATGGGATGGCAAAAGCTCAGCAGAAATTCCATCTTAGAACAGAATTCATGGCCTAATTCTGTGGGTTTCTTTTTTTTTTTGGAGATGAGGGGAGAAGGAAGCACACACGCTTCCCTCTTCTTCCCAAGATCTACTTAGAGGCTGAGACCACTGGAAGATACAGAAATCAGCTCATCTTCCTCCTCCAGGAAAAGACATGAACCCCAGGGGGATAGGAAGGTTCCTCACAGTCCCTTATTTCCATCTCTTTGTAGTGTTGGCTCCAGTCTTGCTCCATTGCCTTCGAGTGGCACGGTGGTGCCCTTCGAGCAGGAGGGATCTGATCACAGGTGGGAGGCCCAATGTTTGCAAACAACAAAAAAAGAACTGGGTGAAGGAGAGAACGTGGTTTTATTTCAAAGCTTTCGAGAGCTCGTCGCTCTTGATGTAGATTTAAATAAAAACCCCGAGACGAGCGATTTTTGCATTACCCAGCCCCTGTGCCTGGAAGAGAAAAAAAAAAGGTTCAATGCAGAAAGCACGATTTGATTTGGAGTTTTCAGAAAGAGACTGCGGAGCAGTGGGATTATTTTAATAATATGGAAACTTCCCTTCAGGATATTGTAATTTTCTTGCCTGTACTTCTTGTTCTCGTTACTCTTAACGTGATAATCCTCTCCACAGCTTCTGTCGGCTGCATGTGACCATGGATAGCTACTGGGAGTGGGAATTACTGTGTGCTCTGCAAAATGTTCCTATCTTGTCCTCCTTGCAGGGCTTTGCCTGTGACTCTGCCGGGTGGGAGCACGTGAGAGCAGCTTTTCCCTCTCCAGAGCTCCTCAGAGCTGTTTCTGTGGGATATCCGGGCTCCAGCCATGGCTGGGAGGCTCTGTGAGCTCACAGACTGTGGGGACTGGGAGCCAGTTGCTGTCTGTGGGCGTGAAAAATAAGAGCAATCCTTGGGCAGCTGTCTCTGAGATGGGGCTGGGGATGTGAGTCAGGCTGGGCAGCTGAAGTGTCTCTGTGTGGAGTCACCTTGATCCCGTGTGGATCCTGCTCTGGCACTGGGATGGGGCTTTTGGGGGATCCCGGGAAGTTTGTGGGGTTCACAGCACCCAGAGGGTCACAGGGTGGGGAGGTTTTGCCTTTGTGGAATGAATTCTAAAATCTCAGAATGGTTTGGGTGGGAAAGGAGCTTTAAACTCACCTTGCTCCACCCCCTGCCATGTGCAGGGACAGCCCCCACTGTCCCAGGGTGCTTCAGCCTGGCCTTGGGCACTTCCAGGGATCCAGGGGCTCCTCTGGGAATTCCATCCCAGCCCCTCCCCACCCTCCCAGCCAGGAATTCCCAATATCCCATCCATCCCTGTCCTCTGGCAGTGGAAGCCGTTCCCTGTGTCCTGTCCTTCCATCCTTTGTCCAAATCCCTCTCCAGCTCTCCTGGAGCCCCTTCAGGCCCTTGAAGCTGGTCCGTAGCCATTAAAGCAATGATGCCTTTTGCTTATTGCACAGAAACAGGCAAATCTGACAGCAAAAAAGGGACAGAACTCTGAATATTTGCAGGTATTCCACAACCAAACCCTCCAGCTTTTGGAGGAATCAGTTGCTGAGCAGATCCTCCTAAACACGGAGAGGGAACAACACGGGAACGACACCCCCAGCCTTTAAAGGGGGGCATATTTTTGAGTCATGCCGACCCTGTGTGGTTTGCAACCAAAACAATTCACACCTAAGACCTATAAATAGAGTGCAATACTCTCCCTGGATATTTTAGCAGCCGGAACAGGCACGGGGATGGAGGGTGAGTTTTACTATGTGCCGGTTACCTGACCTGCAGGGCGCCAGCTGCCGCGGATTTCTGTGGCTCCCCGAACGCCAGGCACAAGTCGTGTGAGCTGCCCCCACACTGCTCCGTGTCTGTTCTCTCCAGCACCCAATTTTAGCAGCACGAAAAGGGAGCTGGAGCTCCGGGGAGGGTTTTTTGGAGCAGAGGGGTGGGGGAAAGAGAGCCCAGCTCGCATCCCCCGGATGGTGGGAGCGGATGGTGCGGACAGCTGGGAGCTGGGATGGGGCTGGAATGTGGCTGGTCACTGCCTGCCCTCGAATCAGGCTGGTGGAGTTCAAGTGCAGCCCAAAAAGATGTTTAAAAAAGATTTTAAGAAAACTGAGCTCCATCTTTAACCCCCAAGCTTTTAACAGCAATTCTGCTTGAAAAGCAAATGTCCCCATTAAACGTCGTGGTGCCGCATCAAGGCTGGGACTGAAATCCCAGGGCCAGCAGGAAGAATTGGAACAAACCTTTGGATCCTTCTAGTCCTGGCTGCTCCCAGCACTCCACATTTCCTTAATAGCACGGGAGCTTGACAACACAACTGAACCCAGCGCTGATCCCATGACAACAAACGCGCACGGATTTACTCTTGGCTGGTCAATTGAAATCCATTTGCTTCTCTGGTTGACGAGGTGTGGAATGAATGTTTTAAGTGTGTTAAAACAGTCAGCATGGAAAGAAAGTTCCTTAAAATATCTCCTATCACTGGAGGTTTGCTGCCAGCTAGCAAGTAGGAGGGAGCAGGCACTGAGGTAGCATCGGGAGAAGGCTGGGCTGGAGCTCTGAGCTCAGAGCACAGGCTTCCCCTCCCTTTTGGAGGTGTCACAGTCCACTGGGATTGTGCTCCAGCCCAAGAGTTTCATGGGAGGGAGCTGCTGTAGGGAGCAGCTCTCTGAGTGTATGGAGGGGAGAATAATGCAGAGATGGGAGGGTTCACTGGTGGTTTGGGGGGAATTTTACTGTCCTGTTGAGGATGAAGAAGAAGGAAACAGCCAAACCCACCTCAGGGTCCCTGACGGGGCTGGAGGAGAAGCAGCTCCCCTCAGTTTTTGGGAGAGAACATGGGCTCATCCCCCAGCACTGAGCCATGTCAGGCTGACCTCCCTGCTTTTACAGCATTCCCATTTATCCCATCAGCTCCCAGTCCGTGTGCTGGAGCACGTCCTTGGCTCGAGCTGACATGTTTGGTGCTGGCTCCAAGAGACTCTGGAGCTCCAAACCCCCAAGATTTCCTTTACTTTTGAGGCATAAACTCCCACGAGAGCTGCAGCTTGTGCTGGGCTCAGCTCAGCGTTTCCCAGAGACAGCTTTCCCTGCACACTCCAGGCTGCCCTGCAGTCCCCTGGAGCTGATTTCCATCTCTTCTTTCCACAGGTGGAGAGAGACTTTGAAAGGGAATATGGGAAGCTGCAGCAGTGAGTATCAACCACACTGGTCGGACAGGACCGGCCGCGTGCTTCCCTCCTCTCATTGCATCTTCCCAGGGGATTTTAGCCAGGGATGCTCTTCCCAGTGAGCAAATCCCTCGCTGCCCTGTAGTTTCCAATTCTTCAGGGTTTCTCTGAGTGTTCAAAGGTGTCCTCAGAAGTATTTGCAGTGGGGTTGCAGCTTCTGGCAGCTTTAAAAAGAAAGTGTAAAATTGCCAGAAAACTGTGAGGTCCTCAAAGAGCCCAGCACCTCAGAGGACCAGGAGAGGCTTTGCCATCCTGCCTGTGTCACAGGAGCTGACACGGATCATCTGGAAGCATTTGGCTTTACCATTTGTGCTAAGTGTGAGAACTTTCAGGAAATATGCGAACTATGAATAAGAGATCACCAACTTGAAAAGGTTAAAAACCATCTGAAAACAACCCGAAAGGGTTGAGCTGCACTGAACTTCATCAAGCCTTGCCTGGATATTTTTAACTCCCACCAGAAGCCAGCATATTCAGCCCGTAAATGATTTGTTGCACGTATGATACACTTGGGTTTCTTTCTTTCCAAGATTCCGACTTTGCCTTCTTTCTCCCATCTTTCAGATTGGAAGATCAGACCAAAAAACTTCAGAAGGATATGAAGAAAAGCACAGATGCAGATTTGGGTAAGTGACTGGAGGATACATAGACTGTGAACTTGGCCACAGAGAGATGAAGTGACTTTTCTCGAGATCACATGAGTAATGTGTGACAAGTCTGGAAAACAAATCCAGAGCTCAGTCCCACTCAGTTTGCTTAGTTACAAGGCCATCTGCGAGAGGGCTGCGAGCAGCAGCTCAGCCCAGGGAACACAGAGAGTGCTGCAGGCTCGGCCCATCTCCTGAGCTCTATGGCCTTGGACATGTCCCTTTCTTTTCTTTGCCTCAGTTTCTGCCACTGAAAAAAAAACAACCAGGAGTCGTTATTCCAGGTCTCAGATTATCCAGCAGGAGCAGCTCCAGCTGAGCCTATTGTGCTTTTTCACCTCCTGCAGTCCTCCTTTCACCTCCTTCACCTCCCTCTCTGGAGCTCCAGGGAGGTGGGATGGGTCTGGGGGGTCTGCAGGGCACAGCTGGATACGGCTGTCCGTGTTTCCCGTGGGAAATGCTGACCTGGCAGCTCTCCTTCGGGAATAACCTGGCTCATTCCCTCGGTGGCTGCTTGTTTTGGCTTCCCCTCGTGGCAGTGGGCGATGGAGGAAACAATAAACGGCTCTGCCTGCACGTTTGGGGTGACATCTGCCCTTGCAGATGTCCTGTCCCTTGTCCCAGCTCCCTTCACATCCCTCTGCTCGAAATCTGTGCCCAGAGAGGGATCCAGCACAGGGGAACTGGGAGCTGGATTTGTTGGATCCTGGTTACTGAGCAGGGCAGGAACCCACAGCAAAGAGCTGTTCCAAACCCAGATGGTTTTTCCCAGCGTGTGGGTTTGGAGCAGTCCCTGCTTGGCCCCCACAGCTCCAGAGCCAAGGCAGAGGCACCAGCACAAACAGGTGTGGGCTGCACTGGGCCAGCACTCATCCCGTGGGATTGGGGTCACAGCAGGGCAGGGCAGTGGGAAGGAAGCAAATTCGGGGCTTTTCACCATGCAGGCTCTCTCACCTGTGTGTGTGTGTGTGTGTGGATATTGCCTGACACAAACACAGATCTGGGCTCTTGCTGTGATCTCCTGCCCTTCCCAGCACAAGGAGAGGAGTGGGAAAAGCATCAGACACCCAGGACTCTTTTCCAGGGTGAAAACTGCCCTTTCTGAGGACTCTGGTCATTGTCAGGGATCCTTGGTAAGTTTTTCCTTGTTAAGGATTCCCCTCCCCTCCCTTGCAGTGGGCGTTGTTTATATGGAGCATTTCAAGTCCCAGAGGAGCTGTGGGAGGACTTTCTTTTTCCGTTCTGTTACATGGCAGAGTCACAAATGAGCCTTGGCCAGAGCCAGGAAGATCTGATTTCTCATTTAAAGGCTTGAAATGATGAGTGGAGGGAGAGGTACTGCTGAGGGAGGGCTGAAGGAAAAGGAGGTGGATCAGATCAGTCCCTGAGGATGGGTCTTCTCACCTGGCAGTGCCCATCCCCAACATCCAGCCCCCAAATCCGATGAGGATTTGTCCCCCTGTCTCATTCCTCCAGGCTCAGGGAGTTGGTTCTTCACTGCCTGCAAACACTCCCTGGCAAAGTGGGACTGGTGGCTCGAGTCTCCACCTTCTTCCCAAAAAGCTCAGCTCAGAACAAGAGCGATTCCTGTGCACAGAAATATCCCAGCAAGGCTCTTCCAGTGCCCTGCCAGCAAACAGGGAATGGGGTGTTAGCAGCACTCCCTGTCCCGTGGCTGGAGATCACTCACCCCCTTCCCCACCCTCTTTCCAAACAGAATAGGAGCTTAAGGAGCAGGAGGATGTTCTTTAACTGGAGCTGTCCTTTGGAATGAGGTGCAGGTAACCCACGGGATCCCCATGGCCCTGGCTGTTCTGGCCTCTAAAAATCTGAAATTCTTTTAATTGGAGCTACATCTCACTTTTTTAATGAGCAAAAGAGCAGTGCAGACCCTCCTGAAGGCCACCCTAAGGGACAGGCAATCTCTTCTCCATCTCCTTCTCCTCCTCCTTCTCCTCCTCCTTCTCCTTCTCCTCCTCCTTCTCCTTCTCCTTCTCCTCCTCCTTCTCCTCCTCCTTCTCTCCTTCTTCTCCTCCTTCTCCTCCTTCTCCTCCTTCTCCTCCTTCTCCTTCTCCTTCTCCTTCTCCTTCTCCTTCTCCTTCTCCTTCTCCTTCTCCTTCTCCTTCTCCTTCTCCTTCTCCTTCTCCTTCTCCTTCTCCTTCTCCTCCATGCCCTGGAACTCTCAGACTCCACTTTTTTCAGCTCTCTGCAGGTGATGTCAGTGATGCAGAGGAAATTCCTGACCCAAATTCCCCCTGGACATGCCCAAACCCCCCCCAGTTCCCAACCTCCCAGCGTGACCCTGCCACTCCCTCCCTCCAGTTCCCTTCCAATCCTTTCCTGTGAAGGAAGACTTCATTTCTTTTGCAGCCGAAAGAGTTCTGCCATTCTTAACTCCGTCCTGTTCTGGCACAAATCCCTCCTCAGATGTGGTCACACATATGGATTATATCCCATCTGTTTAAAGGTTTAAATGCCTAAAGCCTTAATGTTTGGATAATAGATGGATACGGTAGCTTTGTTATTCCGGAGTGAGAGGCTCGTTCTGCATTGAGCTCCCCGGCTCTGCAGCTTCTGAGCTCTCGCCGTTATAATTGTGTGTAACCTTTAAATCAGAATGTTTAACCCCTTGATTTATGATCTTAAGCCCCATTATTCAGATGATTTTAACTTTTAATATCTGAGGGAGTCTTTCCAAAGCTCCTCCATAGCACGGCTCAAGCATCTGGCTTTGTGATCTCCAAATGGAATAACTTCCAGCACTGAGGAAAAAGAACATTTTTTTTAGTACCCCTGGTTTTTTTTTTAATCTATTTTATCCCTGTTTATATTTATGCTTTGCTTTTTATTAGTCTTTTTTTCCATTCTGTACCTTCCCTAATTTCTTGCTCATTTGTGTAGTGGTTCTGTCATTGAATTTTCCCTTTGCAGACCAAGTGTTTGGATAAAGAGGGATGTGGCTGATGGAAAACAAGCGGAATGCTCAGTCAGAGCATGACCTGGAGCTTCTGGATTTCTTGGTGGCACTCCCAGGGCCTGTAGGGACTTCGTGTCCCCTCAGCTCTTTGTCAAAAGGCACAAAATTTAGGCTTATTGAGGGGAAAATGCTTAACTTGTGTCCCTGCTCTTTGTGTTTGGGGAGGGAAAGAGAAACCTCATCTCCCAGCCCTGTCAGCCTGGTCCTTTCCCACTAAATCCACTTCAAATACATGTTTTTTTTGTAAAGCCATTTGAAAGACTTAATGGACTGTGATTTTTCTTGTCGTGGAAGAGCTGTAGTGAGGCTGGGAGTGACACTTAATAGTCTGTTGAGAGAAGATGTATAAAAACCCCCATCTCTGGGGTTTTTTTTAAGAGAACAGTGCTTTTGTTAGTCTGGGATTATTTCTGGCAGCATCACAAGCCTCACATTGGAGTGGTTCAGATTAACTTACATAAAAACACTTCTCTGGATGTTTACATGAATGAATTGGTGCCTTTTCCTTGCTTTTCTCTCAGCCACCAGTGAGTATCTCCCTGGAAGTTTGTGCTGAACCCCCCTCCTGGCTGGTTCAGCTCCCTGATTTTTCCCCTGTGGAGGTGCCTGGTGGTGGGAAATGTGACCCTCTCTGGTTTCTTTCCCATCAGCCATGTCCAAGTCTGCTGTGAAGATTTCCTCGGACCTGCTGTCCAACCCCCTATGTGAGCAGGAGCCCTCGTTCCTCGAGATGGTCACGGCCTTTGGCTGGAAAATGCTGGGAGGATCATGGAGTCATGGAATGGTTGGGGTTGGGAGGGATTCTATCCCCTGCCACAGTGGCAGGGGCACCTCCCACTATCCCAGGGTGATCCAGCCGGGCCTTGGACATGTCCAGGGATGGAGCAGCCACAGCTTCTCTGGGAATTCCATCCTAGCCCCTCACAACCCTCACAGGGAAGGATTTCTTCCCAAAATCCCATCTATCCCTGCGCTCTGGCAGTGGGAAGCCATTCCCTGTGTCCTGTCACTCCCTGCCTTGTCCAGAATCTTTGTGTCTCACCTCTTTTCCTTTTTATCATCATCTCCAAGACTTTTCCCACACGAGTTTCCCTTATCTCAGTATTCTGGCTGGGATTTCAGCTCCCATGGGAGAAATTCCCTCTCTTTTGGTTAAAGGACATTGTGGTTGTGCTCAGAATCCCTCCCCATGCCGTGGTGGGCTCCATACAAACCCATCCTTGTGCAAATGTGATTTTCCAACAATCCTGATGTGCAATCCTCCCTGTTTTGCTTTCCACAGGTGAATCAGATCCAAAAGACAGTCATAGAGCCTTTGAAAAAGTGAGTACCAACCATCATCTCCTGGGGTTTGTCCTCCTCCTGAGTTTTAGTGGATCCTGGAGAGAGGCAGGAAATGAGCTGTTCCACAGAGGGACAATCCTGCACTGCTCCTGCTGGCCACATTGGTTTTGGTACCTTAATTAATAATTTCAACCTCTTTGGCTGCTTGGATCCCCTACTGCCTTCACCTGTAGCTTAAAGAACTCCTGAGATATAAAATCATGGAGCATCCTGGGCTGGAAGTGACCCCAAAGGATGAATAATTCAAATTTCTCTCTGTTTGTGTGTTGGTTTTTACCAACTCTTCACTCTAGCAAAGGAACAAAACCACCTGAAGATCATCCAGGGGGGTCAGAAATTGGCTGGTTGAGCAAAGGTTTCTTTCATTTGGAAATTTTCCAAAATAAAAAGGGAGAAAGCAAAAGTTGCTGCATGTTTATAAATAATATTCCCATGCAAAGGAGGAGTAGAGGTTGCAGAGCCTTCGTAGACGGAGAAGTTGGAAATGGGGGGAAAACACACAAATCCCACAGTTTTGTCACATCTGGCCTGCAAATTTTCCACTTTTTCCAGGGTCACAGGCTGTACCCCCAAACCTTTCAGGATAATTCCAGTTCTTTCCCAAATATCCCCTTAAATCCAGAGATTTGCTGTTTTGTTACAGGAACAGAGCCAGCGAGCAAAAATAAAATGAAATCACTTTAATATGACAGTAAGTGTTGCAAATTGCTGAATAACAATTTCAGTTAAGGTTTGACACACAGAGGGGTTGCCGTGGTTTAGGTTGTTTTGGTTTTTTTGGGTTTTTTCCCCTGAAGTTGTTGTTTCTGCCCAAATCTGAAAGTAAAATCTCATGGATCACTTAACACCTGAGGTTACAGCATGTTCCTGTCTGGGGGATGTTTGGTGACTCAAGTTTTACCTTGGTCCTCTATCCACGACCAGAGATTCCTGCTTATTTAAGGGAAAAAAAAAAATAAGAAGAAAGAAAGAAAGAAAGAAAAAAGGGAAAAAAATCCCAGCCTTTTGCAGTGGAATTGTGTTGCTTATTATCTAGATTGTCCTCATGAAAGATACATTAACTTTTTCTTCCAGCATTCTGTTAAAATTGGAAGAACTTGTGTTTCTGAGATATTCTGGGTTGGTTTTTTTGGTTGTTTTTTTTTCCCTTTCAGCTTGTGTTAGTTGGTGAAATGAAAGACAATCCCTTTCCCTGCAAACCTGCCTTGGGTTTGAAATCCTGGGCTGGGGAATTCAGGACAATAAAACCATTTCCATGTGCCCACGGGAGATGCCCCAAGGGCTGGAGCTGTGGCCAAAACCTCTTCAGTTTTGGGAACAGGAACCTGCTCCAAGCCAAAGCGATGGTACCAGGCCAGGCCAGGACATTCCCATGGCCAAACCTCTCCAAATTTGGGAGAGTGGGGAGTGAGAGAGGAAAAGGCTCCAGGGAGAACTCGGAGCTCTAGAGGCGCTCCAGGAGAGCTGGAGAGGGGCTGGGGACAAGGGATGGAGGGACAGGACACAGGGAATGGCTCCCAGTGCCAGAGGGCAGGGCTGGATGGGATATTGGGAAGGAATTCCTGGCTGGGAGGGTGGAGAGGGGCTGGGATGGATTTCCCTGAGGATGCCCCATTTCTGGAAGGGTCCAAGGCAAGTTTGGAGCAACGTGGGACAGAGGAAGGTGTGAAAGGGCGTGATCTGGATGATCCTTCAGATCCCTTCCCACCCAACCCATTCCATGTTTCCCTGACTCAGGACACTCTGTTATCTGCCCAATCCTCAGTTCAACACCAGCGTGTTTACTCCGACCTCCTGGCTGCTTTCCAGCCTCAGCAATTCTCTCCAACTTCCTGAATTTCCATTGGCCTAGAAGATGAGAGGGGGTTTTTTTTTTCCCTTTTCCTGCCCTTTGGCACCTGCAAAGCTTCACCCTGTGTGCCTTTAACCAGCTTATGTTCCATGCCAGGGAAGCTTCATCCCCACTCCGAGAACAAAAACGCTCCTTCCCTTCCCTCCTTCTTCCCTTTGTAGGTGCATCCCTGGCCAGGAACATTTCTGAGGAGCCCAAGGGTCCATTTTGAGGCTAATGAGATGCAGGAGAGAAATGCAGAGCTTGCACCTCCCTCCCCTTGTCCTGCTGGCAGATAAACCCCAGTGCTGGTTCTGGCAGAAAAGTTCCAGATTAATGAAAGCTGCCTTGAGGAGCCCTTCTTATTTCCAGTTAGGTTTTCCTTCCTCTCCCGAGCCTCTCCCAACTTTGCTCTGACCTAGAAAAAAAAAAGGCTTTTAAATTTCTTTTTTTTTTTTTTTTTTTGCTCCAACAGCTGCACTTTATTACATCTTCACTGGTGGTCTTTTATAGTTTATTAGCCAAAGAAACAGATAAGTATAATCCAGACAATTATCATTAGTGGTAATATATTGTAATCAGAGGCACATGGCAGTAAAATCTCCATTCAGTTGTCCAGGGATTGGAGTTTCCAGGCAAATATTGGGGAATTTGTTAAACCATGTTGAAAAAAAGCAGTAGTAGATTTAGTGCTGGGGGTGTGGAGGCTTGTATTGTTTCAATCCTTCTGCTTCTGGGCTCATAGGGTTATTCACAATTTGGCTTTTTGAGCCCCAAGAACCCTTTGGCTGGGAATGACTCATTTCTTTTCAGGGAAAGAGCAAAGCTCCAGTGAGAATAGTGCATTTTTCAGGGGATGGGTTGGGCAAGGAGCTGGGCAGGAGGGATGGGCTCCTCTTCGGGAGCTGCCTGTGGAATCTCACACCAGAGCAGCAGCTTTGGGGCAAAAGGGGACAAAAGCAGCTGCTTTGGACTTTGCTCTCCCAGTTCTTCCCAGTCAAGGCAGGGTCAGGGATTGGGGATGGAGTCTTAGTGCTCCATATTGTGTGTCCGTATTTAAGGAAGGAAGCGGCTTAAAGGAGCCAGGTGGTTTGGAAATCCACGGGATTTAGGGCCTTTCACGTTGGGATCCGATTTCCAGGGCCACAGGTCTCAGTTTAACTGACTCTGTCTGACCCTCTTGGAGCAGGCGGGTGGCCTGGTCACCTGGGCTTGGTGCCATTCCCTTGGAGCATTGTCCTGTTCCCAAAATTGGAGAGGTTTGGCCATGGGAATGTCCTGGTCACCCTGGCACAGGATCACCCCATTGCAGCATTGTCCTTCTCCCAGAGCTGGAGAGGTTTTGGCCATGGGAATGTCCTGGTCACCCTGGCATGGTACAGTGCCTTTGATTTCTGGCATTGTCCTGCTCCCAGAATTGGAAAACTGGCCACAGGGATGTCCTGGTCACCCTGGCTTTGGCACGGGTGACACAGAGGGTGCTGCCACCGAGGTGCCACCACACAGGGCTGGGTGTCAGGCCTGTGGGACATCCCAGAGGTGCAGTCCAGGAGCTGCTCAGAGTACTGAGGGATAAATTCCATCAGAATTTCCAGAATGTCCAGAGCTGCTGGCAGCACAGCCGGGAGGGGGATCCCTCACTCCACCTCCCTCCCACCACCCCACCATTCCCATGGTCCCTCAAGCTGCAGGAAAAGGCAGCCAGAGCTGGCCAGAGCAGCTCCAGGGGTGCTGGACCGGAAGAAGGAAAAGCAGCTTTCATGTCCTTAATGAGCCCCTAATGAGGATTTGAAGCAGCCACATGGCTGCCTAATCCCCCATGCGCCACTTCCTCATCCCAGCCTCTCCATTCCTGCGCCTTTTCCTTCCAGGAGGAAGGGCTGGGTTTAATTTCCCCCTTCCTGGTGGGTGGATGGGCCCCCACGGATGTGTGGGCACGAGCTGAGGAATGGCAGGAATCCTTCTCCATGCTCCAGCCTCTCCTGAGCCATCCTGGTGCCTCTCCAAGCCTCCCCTCACCTCATCCACCATCGCTTTCTTTGGCATCTGATGCTTCCCAGCTCTGTCATTCCTTTTATTTACCTGTCCATCACCAGCTGTAGATCTTGTCCACTTCCCTTTGGCTTCTTATCCAAGATATCAGCCCAAAAACAATGTCCTAGGGAAGACCCATCTCTGTGCCAGCCAGGTCCCGCTCACAGGCTGCCAATGAGGGTGTTCAAGATGCTTGAAAACAAGGAGGATTAAAGGTTTTACCATTATTTTTCCCTTTCCCACTAAAAATGGGGGCTGGAGGAAGCAGTGGGACGAGGATTTGGGATGGAGAGGGTGAGAAAGCAGAGAGGTGGCAGAATGTTCCCACTCCTTGAGCATCCTCACCATCCCTAGGGCTTCCCAGCAGAGAGATGGGAAGGAATTTCCAATTTGTCAGCTGGGTCGAGTAACAGACGGATCTGGCAGCACCAGGAATCCTGGGTCACTTTTATCTCCTGTGGCAGCATCTCTCCAACCCCATCCTTTAATTACAGGGAGCTGAAGGGAGGCTGGCATGGGGACAAGGTGGGAACACGATTTGGAATGCAGGGAACGGGGTGATTTAGATGTTTTTCCAAGGATAACCTGTCATCCTGTGAGGAGTTCACCGGCAGGTTCCCCCTCTGCCACGGGCAGAGTCATTTGTATTTTCTCTTCGTTATCCCTGCGTATCTCCCCTCACCTGCTCCTCTTAAGCTGCCTGGGCTGTAATCCCCTCTCAGCAGCCTTCCCTAAAAAGTGACAGGGAACAACAGCAGCTTATTCCTCAAGCTGCTTTCATGGCAGGGGCTCTAATACCCCGTGTGCTGTTTTACCTTCACTTCGCCACCATTCCCACCAAATTTTCTTTCGAGTCGGCTTTGATTTTCTTGGGTTTGCATTATAAAAAGGAAGTCTTGGGTTACAGAGGGTGGGGAGGGGGATTTGGGAGTGGTTTTGGCTGTAAGACCCCCTCATTCCCTGTGGAGGAGTGTGGGGAGGATGGTGTTGGGATTATTGATAATATCGGATATTAGGAGTATTTTTGTCATGGTAAGAGTTGTGAAACCCTGGCACAGTCTGCCCAGGAGTCACCATCCCTGGAAGAGCTCAACAAATGTGTGGATGTGGTGTTTTGTGGCTTAGTGGTGCTGGGTTGGTGGTTGGACTCGGTGCTAGGGCTCTTTTCCAACCTTGCTTATTCCATGATTTGTTCCAAACACCCACATCTGCTCCAGGGTTGTGCATCTCACAGGGACAGGAATCGTTCCCTTGCTCCAGGTGTGTGGAATGGATGAGTGAACCATCCCAGATTTGCTTGTGAGGCTTCCCTGCTCTTTCCCCATGTCCCTGCTTCTTTGAAATTCCATGTGGAATTTCCATTTCCAAAGGGCTGTTTGGCTGCTGCTCCCCTCCCAGTTGATCCCAGTCCCTTCGCTGCCAGGAGGGGCTGGTGGTGCTTTGCCAAAGGCTTTGGAAAACTCTTCTGATCCCTGCAGGGGTGTTCTTGGAGGGCTTGGCTGTGTCTGTGCCTGGCAGAGGCTCTGCAGAGCCTTTGTGCCAGGCTCTGCACCAGGAGCTTTTGTCAATAACATGCATGAGATGGTTGTGGAGACACTGGGGCCACGTGTGGAGGCAGGAATTCCTCGGAATAACTTGGCACCAGTGGGAGCCTGGCTCTCCCTCTCCCCCTGCACGGGTGTTTGGCACCCCTGGCACTCTCCTTGGGATCGTGTTTCTGTCCACACAGGGACAAAAACCTGGGCAGGACTTGAAATCCTTTCTCCCAGGGGAATTCAGAATTCCTTGATTCCTTCAAGAGCCAGAGGCAGCTTTGCCTCAATCCAGAGCAGTCCAAGGAAGGTCCTTCCCTGCTTGAGCTGAGCTGATCCTGCATGGAAATTAAACCAGGGAGAGTGTGGCTGGCGTGGGAAGAGTTCAGTGGGCACAGGGAGAGCTCAGTGGGCACAGGGAGAACTCAGTGGGGACAGGGAGAACTTGGCTGACCCAAGGAGAGCTTGTTGGACACAGGGAGAACTTGGTGGGCACAGGAAGAGCTTGGCTGACCCAAGGAGAGCTTGGTGAGCACAGGGAGAACTCAGTGGGCACAGGGAGAGCTCAGCTGGGGACAGGGAGAACTTGGCTGACCCAAGGAGAGCTTGTTGGGCACAGGGAGAACTTGGTGGGCACAGGGAGAGCTCAGCTGGCACAGGGAGAGCTTGTTGGGCACAGGGAGAACTTGGTGGGCACAGGGAGAACTTGGTGGGCACAGGAAGAGCTTGGCTGACCCAAGGAGAGCTTGTTGGCACAGGGAGAACTTGGTGGGCACAGGGAGAGCTTGGCTGACCCAAGGAGAGCTTGTTGGGCACAGGGAGAACTTGGTGGGCACAGGAAGAGCTTGGCTGACCCAAGGAGAGCTTGGTGAGCACAGGGAGAACTTGGTGGGCACAGGGAGAGCTCAGCTGGCACAGGGAGAGCTCCTTGGCGCATTGGTGGTGTCCAGAGAAGCCACAAGTAACCCAGCCCTTCACTGGTGGAGGACAACCACACTGAGGGAAGCTTGAATAGTGATAGGGTTGGTTTTGAACTAATAAAGGGGAGATTTAAACAAGATGTTGGGAAAGAATTCTTCCCTGTGAGGATGGGGGTAAGTGCAGGTTGCCCACAGAAGCTGGGAAACACTTCCTCATCCCTGGAATGCCCAAGGCCAACTTGGATGGGGCTTGGAGCACCCTGGGACAGTGGAAGGTGTCCTGCCCATGGCAGGGGGTGGAACAGGGTGATTTAAGGTCCCTTCCCACCCAGGCCAGTGTGGGATTCCATGATTCCCAGCGCCCAGGCTGGAACTCGGGACACTCCGAGCCAGGCGCGGCTGCGGCTCCGGGGAGCTGGGCCCCCCCTGCTCTGGGAAATGCAGCGTATAATCTATGCATTAAAAGTCCTTGTGAGACAGGAGCTGCTGTGCCTACACAGTTCCAGCCTCTTCAGATCCAGCCCTGTAGATATTTTTTAAAGCTCTGCCGGAGCACAGTGTCCTTCCATTACGGGCTGCGAAATTGCAGCGAGTTGATACCGGGAATAAAAAGGGGGGGGGGGGAAAAATCAAAATCGAGACTTTTTTTTTTTCCTTTTTTCCCTTTTTAAAGCCCAGATTTAACTTCAAAGTAAATGGAAACTGCATTGCTGATCGTCTTGTGCGCCCTCCCTCGCTGCTTTTTCCGAGGGAAAGGGTTGGCTCTTCCCTGCGGAGCGGGATTGGGGGTGGAAGTGGCTGCGTGTGACTTCGCTGGAGTCTCGTGGCTCTGTTCAGGCAGGAGCACCGGGAAGTGTCAGGGAAAGGCCAGGAAAACACCACTAACAGCTGGGTTTGGGTGCCAGCACGAGGCTCAGTGGTTTGAGGGCGTCTCAGGAGGGGTTTTCCAAGATTTGCTGGATGTGGTGGCCATGCTCAGGGCTTGGTGCACAGCAGGGAAGGGAGGATTTCCCAGCCTTCAGCCTGGAATCTCTTCTGGCATTCCCATGCCTGGATTCCCACTGTGGAGGAGCAGCTCAGCTCATCCCCATGGTCTTTATTCCCTGTTTCAGGTGTGAGGTTTTGTGTCCTTCCCAAACCTCCCCCAACAGGGACAGAACATAAAATAAACCAGGAAAGTTTCTGGACTGATGGGATCTTCCTTCCCATTGTTAATAATTGGGAGAAATTCCTGCAGGAGCTGAGACCTCGAGCTGCTGGCATTGTGTGTGTGCCCACAATGGAAAATGGGAATGGAAATGGAAAATGGGAAAGGGCATCCCATAGTGAGGAGACCTGGCATAAAAACATCCCTGGAACTGCTATAGACCAGGCTGGAATGGGCTTGGAGCCTCCTGGGCCAGTAGGAGATGTCCTGAAGGTCCTTTCCAATCCAAACCATTCCCTGATTCCGTGAACCCAAACCATTATCCCATTAACCCTCTCAGCCTGGCCATCCCTTCCCACCCCTTCCTTCCATCCCAGTTTCCCTAACTCCTTCTCCCAGCGGATTTTTGGACTTTACAAAGAGGCAGGAGAGATTTTAGCAGCCCAGGAGCTGGTGAGCCTGCTGCATCCAGGACCTGGCTCCCATATAAATATAATGGGATCGTGTGGGATGGTGTCCATAAAAAGCAATGTCAGGGCAGAGCATCTGATCCTCTCTGGGCAGCTGGAGCAGCTCCCTGATGACTTTCCCAGGTTGTTCCTCATCCCCAATCTGTTGCAACAGAGAGAGAATATCATGGGATATATATTTGTATTTATATTTATATGGATTTGTTCTGTTCAAGCCTCGGGGGATGTGTAGGACCGGGCAGGATTGAAGGATCGCATCCCCAGATCAGCCTCTCGCCCAGGGATGCTCCTCACAAATGCTTGGATATAAATATTCCCACTTTTCTCTTTCCAAACTGAGGCTCAGGGATGAAAGTTTTCCTCAGCACCCACCAGTCCAGCCCATCAGCACCCTCCGGAGCGAGCGGAAAATGGGATTTTAATAGGGCTGGAGTGGCTGGGAACACCCGTGGTTCCGCTTGAACCATGGATTTAGGTCACATCCGAAGCAAATGACACTTGTCAAGTGACATTTGTGTCTTTTCTTTTTGCTAATGGCCCCCCCTGTTTGGTTTATATTTATATTTTTTTCCATTTTAAGAGGTGGGAAAGCTGTTTGTTCCCTCATGGAAGTAAAATCCATCACCAGGCTGCTCAGACAAATTTTTTACCACTCAATCTCTGGCTTCAACCCCCTAAAATCACCCTGGAATTTATGAATATTAAATTATTATCTCCAGAGGGAGCATCACCTATTTGATCCCAACCCACAGCTCTGGTATCCCCTGGGATAATTTGATTTCCTGGAATTAAGACACAGGAGCAATGTTCCAGTTCCTGCTTTTCCCTTTTCTGTCACATTCAAAAATATTCTCCATCAGATGTTCATGTTTCCTCAATTTGTAACACATTTTAATAATAGGAATCTTTCCCATCGCCTGGATAAATTGTTAGATGCTGTGAATCCTTCTGGGGAGGGCTCAGGGCTTCTCTTCAGCTGGGTTTGCGACTCAAAAAGAGCAAAAATTTGTCGAAAAAAAGAGAAAAAAATAAGGAGAAAAGCAAAAAAAATAAACCAAAAAAAGAGCCAAAAATTAACCAATAAAAGGCCAAAAATTAACCAAAAAAAAGGCGCAAAAAACTAACCAAAAAGAGCCAAAAATTAACAAAAAAAAAGCAAATACTAACAAAACAAAAGCAAAAAATAATATCCAAAAAGAGGAAAAAAAAAGATGCAAAAAAAAATTATGCCGCAATTTTTTTTTTTTTTTTGCACTCATTATTTATTTTTCCTGGACTTTTATTTCAACTTCTCTCCCTCTTCTTTCCTTTTTCAACCAGGAATTAGGGAAACGATACATTAATTAAGAATATTCAGAATTCTGGGATGGTTTGGCTTGGAAAAAATCTCACCCGGTGTCACAGCAGGGAACTTTCTGCTGGAGCAGGGTGCTCTGCAATTGTTTTGGATGCTTCATCCACCTAAAATATCCCATCCCAAGCCTTTCCCATCTTTTTTCCAGGTTCAGCAGTGTCTTCCCGAGCCTGAACATGGCTGTGAAGCGCCGGGAGCAGACGCTCCAGGACTACAAACGCCTGCAATCCAAGGTGGAAAAATACGAGGAAAAGGAGAGAACTGGCCCCGTCCTGGCCAAGCTGCACCAGGTATTGAGATGTTCCCAGAGCCACAATCCCGGCAGCATTCCTGGGAAAAACTCGGGAAAAGCTTTTCCCTTCTATCTGGCATCCGTGTCATGACTAGAACGTTTGGGAGGATGTCTTTTATCCGTGTAAAAATCACATTTTTGACAGCACAGCGCTGGTTTGGAGTGCTCGGTGAAGGGAAGGAGCCGCTTTTCCAAGAGAAAATGGAATGTTTTCCAAGAGAAAATGGAATCAGAGCCCTGGGAGCTCTGGGGGAGCTCAGAGCCAGCGCTGAGGTCGAGGCACAGGGGGGTTCCCCCCGACCTCCGCGTCTGAGCGAGCAGCTGGATGGGGAAGGGAACAGATCAGAGCATTTCCCAGCTTTATGTTTGCCACCTGTTCCCAAAAAAATTCGTCTTGGAAAATTGCAGTAATTGGTTAACAGGAAGTTTTGCCAGATTCTTTTTGCTCTCTCCCGAATTTTAGCGAAATCGTGATGAGTTTGTTGGTTTTGTTTTTTGCTTTTTTTTTTTTTTAATCAAATCTTCCCCAGCATTTTTCCCCCAAAATCTGTCGCTCCGGCAGCACGTGGCTTGATCCTCCCAGGAACAATTGATTCTCAGAGTCAAAGAAAATGTGTTTTTCTGATGAATTTCCACCCCAAAAAATGAAGTTTTGTGTTAAAGAACAGCCTGAACAAAAGACACCTCTGGTTTAACTGTAAGCAGCTTATTTTGCTCAGCCTCAGCGACTAAAGCTGGGGCTGGAAAAATGGGAATTCTTTTGTCCTGGTGATTAAGCAGGGTTTAGTTATTTCATTTATTTTTTCCCCTTAATGAACTTTTGATCTAATTCTCCCCACCCCAAAAAAAAACCCTCTTAACCAAACACTGAGTTTAAACACCTGTGGGAGGGAGCCTTGAACAATCCTGAACTTGGGGTATCCAGAGGGTCTGGATTTGATGGGAAAAGGCCTTATCTCTTCAAGGTATTTTTAATTCTTGAGCTGCAAATTTACATCCGTTGTTTGCTCCAGGTTTTCTGCTCTTCTGCCCCCTGTGAAGTCCATCCTGGGAGTTTTCCCTGGGAGTTCCACCCCAGGAGTTTTCCCCATGGACTCCATCCTGGGATTTTTCCCAGTGAACTCCATCCTGGCATTCCTCCCCGCCATGAACTCCATCCCAGGATTTCTCCCCCAATGATCTCCATCCTGGGATTTTTCCCCCCACGATCTCCATCCTGGCATTCCTCCCTGCCATGAACTCCATCCCGGGAGTTTCAATGCTCCCGATTTCATGGCAAATGATGGATTTGCTCCTTTGCTGGGATGACTCCAGGCTTTTCCATGCCATCCCCCTGGCACGCTGTCCCTGTCCCCAGGGCCGGCGCCGCGGCCGGGCCGGGCTCTCCCGCTCCCCCTCCCGTCGGAATGGCACCGGGATTAAGTGGCAGACTTGAACCGGTCTAATATTTCACAGCCCACCCCCTCCTGCCCTTTTCCACACCATCCCGGAGACATTTCCCGTTCTCCCCACGCTCTGTTTAAAGGAGCCGGTTGGATGCACTGAGCTGAAGGTCACGTTGATGGTGGGGGCAAGGTCCTGGAGCGACGCTCCTGGGAATTGCAGGGTGAGGGGACATGGATGTGGCCAGGGATGTTCTCCAGCCTGACCGAGCTCTGGGACTGGGTTTTGTCTGTGATTTTCTGAAGGAGAGAGGACACAACTTCTCTGGGTGTCCTGTGGCTTTCCAGGGTCAGAGCATGATTTCTACCAGGATCCGCTGGATAGTCCCATCAGGATCCATTAACTGGTCACGTGGGCTCCACCTGGATCTGTTGGATGGTCACTTGAGTCCCACCAGGTCCCATTGGATGGTCACTTAGATCCCACCAGGTCCCATTGGATAGTCACTTAGATCCTACCAGGGTCCATTGGATGGCCCCATCATGATCCATTAACTGGTCACTTGAGTCTCACCAGGTCCCACTGAATGGTCACTTGGATCCCACCAGGTTCCATTGAATAGTCACTTAGATCCCACCAGGTTTCATTGGATGGTCACTTGAGTCCCACCAGGTCCTGTTGGATAGTCACTTAGATCCCACCAGGTTCCATTGGGTGATCCCATGGGTCCGACCATGGTCACTGCTTGTCCCCACAATCAAGCAAAGCTCCCCATTGTCCTGGCCAGGAGGATCCCTGTCCCAGGAGTGTGACCCCCAGCCCCTGTCCCTCCGCAGGCCCGCGAGGAGCTGCGCCCAGTGAAGGAGGACTTTGAAGCCAAGAACAAGCAGCTCCTGGAGGAGATGCCCAAATTCTACAGCAGCCGCATCGATTACTTCAAACCCAGCTTCGAGTCACTGGTCCGGGCACAGGTGAGACATTGTCCCTTCCTGGTACCGGTGTCGTGTCCTGTCCCGCAGTTCCATGTGCTTTATCCACTGGAATTCCGTGGTGTTATCCACCTGGGAATGCCATTTTGATTTGGAGTCCTGAGCTCGGGGCTTGATTGGGTTTGAGGAGTTTGGGCTCATCTGAAGGTGGCTCCTGGGACATCTCCACACCAAAGATTTGCAGGAAGAGGTGCCCTGAATCACCAACAGCTTTCAGTTCCATCCTCCAGCTTCCTTCAGGAACATGCTGCCGCTCCTCCTCCTCCTCCCTTCTCCCTTTGCCCTTTCCCTTAGGCTGCAGAGGGGCAGGGTTGGGATCTTCCCAAGCTTTGAGAACCTCTGGCACCCCATGCTGCTGCTCCCGGGGCGGTCCAGCACGGGCAGGAGGGCAGATCTGGGCGCTGCCCGCACCGTGGGCATTTTCCTGCGGCGTTTTGGGGCCGGGAGGCGCCGCAGGGCCCCAGGTGCGCTGCGGGGGGGCTG